GAAGTCAGTCACCATTCCCCTGCCCATATTACAACTCAGTAGACTTTGAAGAAAGTGTGCTGGAGATGTCATTTTCCACAATTTTATAAGCATCCACATCAAGATGCTTCACTGTGGGCTAGCAAGGGATGCTGTACATGACTGGAGTATTACTTACAGAATTTATGACATAGAATCATGGTTGCAACTTCACACACTGCAAGCACTGTGAGTCCCACATGTGCATATTTCACCATAACATATATTTCTATGAATGCTTAATTAGCACTATGACATAGAAAAACACTTCAGGCATTACACCTCACATTCTCACACCTATTTTTTAAACAGAAGCGTGGCATTTTTTTACATATGGAAAGGGGCTCTCAATTTCTGTTTTTCCAAGAGTGTACAGGAGCAAAGCAGAGTGATTTGTAGTAGGAAACTGTATTTTCAAAATATTTCATATTCCTCCCTGCGTTGCAATAATTTAATTACTGCCTTGATTAAAAACAAAACAAACAAAAACCCCACAAAAAAACCCAAACAACAAAAAAAAAATAAAACCAACAAAAAGAACCTCTGCTGTTTTTAAAGACTAATTTAGTATGCATATATTCCAGAGAGAAACAATATAATAGAAAAAAAGTGAATCAGTGCCTGTCTGCCAAAGTCTCTGAATGAATATCAGACACCTTTCTGGAAGTCACGCTGTGATTAAACTAACCTCAGCAGAAGGGCACTCATTCCATCAGGTATTTTCCAGTAGAGGTCAGACTGAAGGAGCTTATGATCTACTTTAGCCTTCAAAATCTATGAGTGGGGAGTTACTAATCAAGATTTGGAAGTCTGAAAATCAGTATTTAATTAGAATAGAATCACATAGGTTGGAAAAGACCTTAAAGATAATCAAGTCCAACCATTAACCCTACTCTACCAGGTCCAGCACTAAGCTATACACCCAAGCACCACATCTAGATGACTTTAGACACATCCAGGAATGGTGACTCAACCACCTCCCTGGACAGTATGTTCCAGTGTCTGACAAACCTTTCAGTGAAAAAGTTCTTCCTAATGTGTAGTCTAAACCTCCCCTGGCACAACTTAAGGCCACTTCCTCTTGTTCTATCACCAGTTACTTGTGAGAAGAGACCAGCACCTACCTCTTTACAACCTCCTTTATACTACTTTGCTCCACTTGAATTGAATCATAAAGATGTATTCTTCTAAGTGTCCAACAGCTGAAGGTATTTAATCATGAGACTATTTTAAGGTATGTCAACAGAGCCTTTCCCAGACCACTTGATGTGCCATCTCAGTTGGCAGGACAAGGTTTGGAAAAGAGAAAAGTTATTCCTAAACTTCAGTCTTGAAATGGAAAACGTGTTAGTTTGAATAATAGCAGACAACATTCTAATTACTTTTAAAAGGGTATTTTTAAAGTTTTACTTTTTATTTTTTGCTTTTAGAAAGACTATACTGGTACTTTCCACCAAAGATCTAGATTGAATTTGTTTTGGTAAATAACTAGGAAGAGACAGAGCTAAGCATGGAGTAATGACCATAACAGGCTTCAGGGGATTATAACTGTTCAAAATCCCAAAGATACTTGAATTAGTAGCCTAAGCTTTTATTTTTATCTATTTTGGTGGTTTATGCAATTCCATCACTTTGAGAAATACTGACTCAGGTTCTTGAAATAAATATCTTCAAGGCAGTGAAGTTCAGATATACACTTGCTTCTAAAAATCCCAAGGAAATGTTTAATGTATCATTGATCGTTTTAAACACCTGCTTTGCTGTGACAAGATGCAAAGCCATGCTCAAATGGCAAGTCCTAGATCAGAGCTCTTTGCCAGTCACCAGTCCTCTCAACAACTCACTGCCTTCAGCATGTCTGTGTGCAGCCATGAAAACCAGGACCAAGGAACTCTGGCCAAAACCACATAAACTCACAGACCAAAAAAACAAAACTGAGGAATTGCTCACATGTTTACACTTCTGAAAACAAAGCAGCCCATGAAATTCACTCAGGTGAAATCAGCTAACTGTGTCGAGCTACGTCAGCTAGCATTTTAAAGTATCTCATGGTCAACTATTAGAGCCACTTCAAAGTACTTTGGAGAAGCAAGAACATAAAATGCAAGGAGTAACTGGCAGAGAGAAGAAACCTTGAAGTTTCTCCAGTCACCTAAGATTAGTGGTGGGAAAAACAGGCATAAGGAACAGAAATGAAACTTAGAATATGCTGGTTTGACCTCTTTTTATATGCCTCCTATGCCTTTTCTATACTTTCACCAGGCCAAAAGCAGCATACCTGCTGATAACAGTCAGTCATTTCATGAGGGTTACAGATTGTTTCATTTAATGATTTTGTAATAGAACCAGATAATAGCAGTATGAAATCCAGCGTGCATGTTTTAAGAGGTGAAAATTCAGTTTAACTCAGTAATACATTCAATTAATACACTTTTTTTCTTCTATTAGTAAGTAAGCTAATAAGTAGGCAAGCAGAAAGTAAGCTCACCTTTTATCTTTTCCAGCTGTACAACAGATACAACATACTTCTCTAACACACAGCCTGAAGAAATGCAAGAGCCATTTGACAAGGACCACTCCAACACACTTTCACTGAGCTGGCAGTCAGAGTCTGACTGAAGCTGGTAAGGCAGATTTCCCAGATTGAGCACACACCCCACCCAGATGCACAGATGGTATTTGTGGGAGCAAAGGAAAATAAAATGTAGGTTTAAAATAAATGCAAGAAAAACACAGAATAATATTGAATCATTCTAGGTATTTCTAAGGGTTTCTGTTTATCTTTTCTACTTCTCAGCACATAGTGAGTGTATGTTTAGGGCTTTGAAACCACTGAGCAAATGGAAGGGATTTAAAACTAGTTTTGTTTCAAATGTAAGATCACAAGAAATAAAGACAGGCTCCAGGTATTTCCCTTCAGAATGAGACTTCTGTACAGACATTTGATGCAAAAGGAGTTAAAATGCTCTTCCTGCAGATGTCTGACAATGACAGCTAGGCTTGTCAGAAGAGCCTTTCCGATGCTAAAGGAAAGGATTTGCTCTGCTGCTAAATTTCAAATAGGTCCCTCCGCACGGTGGCTACTTTTCCCAGTGTTTAAAATGGACAGAAAGACAAACAGCTGGATAGAAGACCCAAGCTACAAAGAAGTGAGAGAAATACAGCTTTAGATGCTGGTGTCACGATATAAGCTCACAAGTGTAGTCACAGACTGATCAATCAGATTTGGCAGTTTGACTCCAGCAGTGATCAGTTTGGGCCACAGCTCAAGCTTGCAGTCTCTCTCCATCACTACTCCTTCTCAAGGCAGAAGGAGCTGATGGCCAACTGTTCATTGTGATAATGATACTGTCCAAGGTAGCCAGGTCTCAAGATCCCATGAAAAGCTAGTAGAGAAAAAAAGGAATAGCAGGAAAACAACACAGGTAGAAGTGGGGAGAAAGATGGAAAAAGAAAAAGGAAAGCCCATGCTTCCCCTTGGGAGTCCCTTGCAATGCAGCAGGGTTTGTGTGCTTACTTGGCCATGTCAGGAACTAAGCAGCTCTGTGTTCTACTTTTAATCCTCCTCTCTTAACCATCCTCCTTCTAGAGGAACCAACTTTTCATTCTTTCGCTCCTTAGATTTCCTTTCTGGTAAACCAGTGTTAGCTTCTTGATTTCAAGAGTCACCCTTCTCTTCATTAGCAGACATGACTTAAACACTATCCTTGAATTGCAATAAAAATCTCCCTTCTTTGGATTAAAGCAGTCTGTCTGCACCCTTCCTGGCTTCTCCTGCTGCCTTTCGTCTTAGTTACCGCCTAATGTAACACTGCAAGGACTTCCAGTGGCTCATCTCACAACTGTGAGTAGATAGGTAGGCCCTCCTGTGATGTGCCTTGCGTTGGTACTACATCCACTTTTCACCAAGCAAAGAGAAGAGAAAAGCAAACCTTTTGGCATACAGAGGCAGTAGAGAGATCTCTCCAGACCCTCTCTGGGATATCCCTTAACAGCACAGCTGCTGGGGTAGAAAAGTAAAACAATCATGCTGCACTCGCACTTCTGCCATTTAAAACTTATTAATGACTAACAATCTGTATATATAAAGACTCTTCTGGGTCACTCCTTTTCTTGAAATCTTGCAGTATTATTTGAGCTACAAAAATGAACAAAAAAACCCAACAGGAAGATTCTTTAAAGAAAATATTTCAAACTAACACATCACGGAAAAGCAAAGAGCAAAATTATCTATCAGCAACATATTTATGACAGTATGGCATGCAAACTAATTATATAATCAAATTTTAATTATTTTATATATACATTTAAAAGTGTAGTCATTTTTTGCTGAATTTATTAAAAAAATTTAAAATTTCTTTCTACAAAGGGTCAGTCACAAATCTGTGTTTGGAGTAACTTTCACCAGTGTCACTAAATAGGCTTTAGTCAAAATACTTTTCTTCTTTTGAATATATTCAGCTGAGAGAAATGGAGCTGCAATACCTTGGGTTTTTCAAACCTATCTAAAGTGGATTATACAAATAACAATTTCATCAAAGATTTTTTACAACAAGCCTAGCATTGTTGGTTAGATCTTATTATTAAGGTAAGCATTCTTCAAAGAACTGTATGATTGGAATCTCTTCCTGATACATAGTGACATGCTATTTGCTGGCTGCAGTGGGAAGAGTAAAAATGAAAACAAAAATACAAACATGCTTTTTTTTCCTCTTGTCTTTATTGATTTAGACTTCAAAGCTATGGCCAAAAATAGTGCATCTGTAGAAAATTACCACACATGCTATCAATACAGCATCATCACATGTTTAGAATCGTAAGCACTTGGCAAATCACAAGGGGAAGATTCAATATATGTTGGCAATGCAGTAGGTGAATAGGGAATACAGGGAGAAGGAATGCTTTTTTCCTCCAAAAAGAAATATTTCTGAACAGGTAGTAAAAGCCTCTCTTAAAAAATGAATTCCAGTCACCATAAAAGACTCATTCAAGATATCAACATACACTGCTGGAAACTTTGAGTGGAATGTGGAATGGTACACAGAAGCTACGACTCCGCTACAGGTACAAAGCTGTCTTCAGCACTTTGTATGCCATGGATATAGTCACTGCATACCCAACTGCCCAAGACAAACCTCTGCCAGGCTGGGGAAGAGGGATCAAGTATGCAAAAGTGTGAATGATCCTTGCCCCAGTGAAGATCCTGAAATGAAGCAAGGCTGTGGACAGGTCAGGGCCGCTAAGAGCATACAGCAGTCCAATACCGAGAAATGGGACAATATTTTCAAGGTCGTTCAGGTGGCCCCTGGGGAAAGAAGCAAAGATGTTCTTCAGTGTTACATTTTCTTGAATAAACCACTTCAAACCTCATTATTTTTCAGAATCTTTGGAGTATGCTACTGGTAAGGCCTTAACATAACTGTTGTCTTCCTTTGCAGTGGGGAATTCATTCAGCTACTGAAACTACTTTGGCATCTTCACCTGACATCATTCTGACCTCTCTTTCTACACCCCACATTTTTAAGCTTCTGATCTGTTTGAAAGGTCTTAGTTTTTCTCCAGGATTTTGGCAATATTAGGAACTCACCTGAGGTGTATGAGTGCACCTGAGTGTGCAAGAATGCAAGGAAAGGTGGGGAAGATAACAGATAGCTGGAATTTTTCTTATAGCCTCTCTCAACAGAATATCCATTAACTGGATGAGTGTGACTTCAACTACTAGACTTCATGGCCCAGACTGTCTATTCCAGTCATACAAATTCAGTTCGTAGTCACCATAAAGAAAATCTGAAACATCCTATAAATGAAATACTCTATAAAATCTTAATGAAGTTCAATCATATTGAAGAATTATATTTTTGAGCATCTAACAGGTGTCACAGTTACACTTTTCATTCATTTTCTTCACTCCTAAGCATAAAATAGTTGAAAAATGTTTGAAATTTTGAAAAATGTGTTGAGACTGAACTCTAGATCTTGGAAGTATTCTTTTAGGCCTCTTCCTAAACCTTCTTTGATCCCTTTTCCTCTTCAGAGTAATTATGCTTACAGCCAAATTTACTGATTGAAACAACCTCTAAGTCCTACTCATTTTATCAAATTTCACAGCCAACTAGAATCAGAACATGATGTTGTTTTGGAGTTGCCTTCTGAACTCATATATCATTACAAGGAAACATCTTTCAGGTTGGTGTTTTTTGTTGGGGTTTTTTTTCCACTCAAACACTGAAGAAAATAATGCCTTTTCTATACTTTCAAACAGAATAAATTCCAGTCCCTTATACACAGGAGAAGCCATGCTAAATCTATGTGGCATTATCTGTTGTCATGAAGCTTACAAAAGAAAACACAGTAAATTCCACTAAGAAACACTGTTGGGAGGAAAAAATAGATGCTACAACACCAGTGGAGTAACTACAACCAAGCTGACTTACGAAGACTGGGGATGTCTGAACTCTGCAAAATATCAACACAGAGTTTGTTAATACAGTGTTTTAAAAATCTAATCTCTGTAAATGACTCTGTGAGGTGTTTGTCATTTCTCTAACAACAATTTGAGCTAAAAGGGCATCTCATTGTAAAAGTAGTATTGACTTAGCTGTCCTCTTAGAATTACAGATAGGTACTTCTCACTGAAAAGTACCCATTTTTATACAACAACCAGAAAACTGAACAACTAACAATTCCCTAAACCACTCAGGGGAAGAAAAGGAAAGTTCAGAACATCTTTACAGCCCACTGAGATTAGACTCTTCTTTCTGAGATCGTAATCCAGAAGACATATAGAAATATTAGCCTTCATGGAACAAGAGTCATCTACATTTGCACAGATGTGCTGTTCTGAAATTAGAGCTGACACTTTCAAGATCTTCCATAATGATGGTTGAAATGAGAACAGTTCATTCATATTCAAGTTTTTGGTATAAAAATATAAATAGAAAATAAACTGTTAGCTTCATTAAGGAATAATGGTATGGAAAGCATTCCATGAAAGCTTTTCTTGTTAGCACAGGCGCTATGTATCAAATAGCACCTCCACAGTTATGATTTTAGATACAGAAAAATTTGCCATCAGCTAAAATTAAACATGCTGCAACACGTAGCCCACTGAAATAGAGCTTACATTCTACCACAAATCTTGCAAAACAAAATACATACACCGTAGGTTGCACACTACCATGCTATTAATAGCATTCTTCCAGAAGGCTGGACTACTCTCCTGTACAATTGACACATCAGTGAGTAACCTCAACTGAATACAGCAAAAAGAGCACAGGCTTTGACTCCCATCCTGTACGATTTGCCAGATTAATGCTCTTATCACAGCTCTGGAGTTCTAAAACTTAAATAGCTGTATTCCTCTTCTCCCTGTTATTTCCTTTATACTTTATGAAAAAAGCAACTATTTCAACTGGTGTTCAAATAATATAGAAAGCTGATTTCCACTTAATGAACATTGCTTCTAACTTAATAAACTTACAATATTATATTTTAGAACCTTTTTCACCACTTCCCCCATGCATACAGGACACCATTCAGGAGCTAGCTATTATAACCAGACAATGACTTATTATTTTTAGTATGCATGCTGACCATTTGAACATGGAATAGTTTGTTCACTTTGACTTACATATTTTATTACTACATAAAGCAACACAAAACACACACAGGCTTGCCAAAGAGAATGAGCTGATATTAATTCCTTGACTTAATATTAATCTGCTATTTAAGATAATTTTTAAAGACACGCATTACCTGCGTACACGTTCGACATCTTGATCAGTCCGCAGATATTTTTTAGCAGTCTCACCTTTTCCAAATGATGCTACGTCTTCTGGGTTGACAAATGCCTATTTCAAACATAAACACACAAAAGGCATCAGAAGCCAGAATGCTTTTTGTAGTCAAGGCAGCTTGCTATAAAGGTCACTCTTTTACTAATGCCTCTATAAGCTCTCATAACTTACCTGAAGTTAAATACACAGGAAATACATTGCTCACTGCATTACTATTTTTTTGAGCCCTGCCTGTATGTAGCTTATGTGCTGACAAATTAATGTAATGTAATTTATGTATATAGATAAAGTCTTGTAAGATGGAAAAGCAAAGCGGATGACTAATGCTCAGCCTGAAGTAAGACCAGTGGGCTGAAGGAGCATAGGGACCTAAAAGGCAGAACTATTGTCTCTACTGCCTAAATGTCTTCTCAAATTATTTGAAAGTCCTTTTGGATCCCTTTCTTCTTCAGAAATCTACACAATAATAGCATCCAAGAGACTTACACTCATCTTCATTTACGACCAAATAAGTTCCTTCCCTTCCTCTTAAGTACAAATTTTTCCACTTATATGACCTATTATTACCTCCAAATACTGTAAAACACTAATTGAAAACAACACTTAATTCAGTTAGTGCAAGCTGCACTAGATCTCTCCTTGCTGAAACCTGTAGTAGCATGTGCATTCTGTGGACAGTTCAGGCTATGCAGCCTAAGTCAAGAAAACCTTCTGATTTTAGGAGAGCTACATGATTGCTTTCTGAGGCAGCCTTGATCCCTCTCCAGGAAGTATCCTTGGCCCCAAAATTCTGGAGACATGTTAACAGTATCAATATCAGCAACATTTTACCCTCTGCTGCTCCACTGACTGCTTTTCTCCATTTTCTCTTAACGTTTTAAAGATCTTTTAATATTAAATAGGAAATAAAAATGGTTTTACCAATTAGCCTGTGTTATTACTGTCTGTCGTAAGAAAACCAAGGACTTCAAATTAATGAAGGTCCTATTGTCACCTGCATAACATGGATCTCCACATGGTATGTGCATTAACACAGGACCCTACTGAATCTACATACAGGACCATTACAGCCAATGTGCTTCTGCAAGAGCGATAGAAGTGAGGTTATAAGACAAACATCTGGGTCCTGTCTTGAACATCCAATCTTCAACTGTGACAAAGACCTAGAGAGCTATCAGAAACCAGCAGTAGCTCAAAAGCTCTGCTGGATCTCATGAGCAACAGAACAGTTCCACTGGGTTTTCTTGAGCCCAGGAGGAACAAAAATCAGCATTTCAACAAAAGGACTGCAGCAAAATTCTTGAATCACACACTATCTTGCAGAAGCAGAACACACAATAGCCATATGGAACAAACTTGAGGCCTCTTTCAGCACAGGAGCCAATTGTTTCCAACAGTGGCCATGAGCAGATGCCTAGAGAAGACCAAGAAGATGGCAAACACAACACAAAGCTTCCTATGAACACTCTCTCATCAGCTAGATGCAGCTTCTGCATTGTTTAGTAAACTTTAGTGGATCTTTCATATACTTATCTAGCCTATGCATCAGGCCATGTAAATTTTCAGCCTGTCTCTTGTTCCAGAAAAAAAAATAATTTTTTTAAGACAACAAACTACCTTTAATGACAAGGCTAAAACAATTAGGGAAAGTAAAGAGTGTTAGAATCACTGGACAAAAGGATTATAGATGCATAAAAAACCACTTCATTACCCCTCTTCTGACCCTACTAGTTAGTTATTAGTGCAAAATGGTTCTATATCACACTTTATTTGCTTTATAAATCAGGTACCCTGGACACCAGCTTTCTGCAGAAAACAATGGAAATTACAGTTATGGAAAACTCTTATTTAAAAATTACAGAAATGTTTTAGAAGGGTAGAGAAGTCAAATACAATTATAAGATACAGTCTCATAATTAGGTTAAAGACATCATCCATTTGAGATTAACAAAGCACCAGCATGCCAAATGTAGAATATCATTAGAGGAGGGAGAAGGAAGAAAAGGTACAGCGCTGGCATTTGAAAGCTGAAAAGAAAGACCTATGGTATCTCTGTATTTCCATACAAATTTCAATCTATTCTAACAGGCAGTATTCCCATTTTCTTACCTTTCTTGTGATTCTGAAGTACGCTGTTACAAGACTCATTAACATCATTTTTAGAAGAACAATAGTTGCATATGTAGCATAAGCCCGAAAGGTGTCATTGTCAATTAACTGGGTCAATTTAGCCATTTCTCCACTCTTCATTGACAGCCTTTAGAAAAACATTGAAGTTAGGCTAACATCATAGCAATCCAGCATTTTGACAATCAGATTGGCAGAATAGCACTGTTTTAGCATCACTGCAATGACAGCAAAATTTTGCCACTGTGAAAAGTTTGTTTGCAAGCAAATTTATTTTTCCTAAGTTTATTTTCATAAGGACATAATATAATACTGTAAGATGAGAAATTTTATTATCATTCAATATTTTGCTTCCATTGTATAAAGGTGTCATTGTCAATTAACTGGGTCAATTTAGCCATTTCTCCACTCTTCATTGACAGCCTTTAGAAAAACATTGAAGTTAGGCTAACATCATAGCAATCCAGCATTTTGACAATCAGATTGGCAGAATAGCACTGTTTTAGCATCACTGCAATGACAGCAAAATTTTGCCACTGTGAAAAGTTTGTTTGCAAGCAAATTTATTTTTCCTAAGTTTATTTTCATAAGGACATAATATAATACTGTAAGATGAGAAATTTTATTATCATTCAATATTTTGCTTCCATTGTATCTGCTTATCAAACTGTCAAAATAAAAAAAAAAAAAAAAACACTAAAACATTTAATGTAATTGCAGAAACAAAATTTAGTCATAGAATTTAGTACACTTTTGAAATAACACAAGAAGTTAGACCAATTCATTTGAACTAGTGAATTTCCCTAAGCAGTTGCCAGGATAGAAAGTGTGATGACATCCTGCAGTGTCTAAAGAGGAAATCTAGTATTGCTTACCTTTTCTTTACTTTTTTTTTTGTAAAATCACACAATTATAACTGCACTTCAGCTTTCAAACTAACCCATGTCTTCCCACCCAGCAATAACTTGTGATCAAACTGACTTAAACACGCATTTTTATCCTCTGAGACCTTGTTCTTAAAAAATTGCTTTTAGGCTGATTCACGGGAAAGATTGAGTTGTAATGACAAAAAGCAGGGAACTATTTATGCTTCTATCATGGGAGGTTTAAGCTAATGAACTCTCTTTCCAATGAGACCATATCAAACCCACAATCCTATGGAGGTGGTACCTTTTATCAACATCATTAAAGTTGAGGATGAGTGGATATACGTAAAAGGAAGAGCATGTCCCTTGCACGTTCAATTTGTGCTCTGCTTGGAGCAAGGCTTTTGCCTCACCAAGTGCTTCAATCATGCACTTAATGTTTAGGAATACATACAAGTTGTATGTCCTAGCTTCACTCAAGACCAAAATAAATGCACTTTTTGTTATTAACTTCATTATTTCCTACAATATCACTTTAATGATAGGATTAAAAGAAGTAATATTTATTGATTACAGCTCTAACAATCTCTCACCTTGTTTTTAGCATGCAGCCACTGCCAGCTATAAAAAGAGGGAAACTGGGCAAATCAAGAGCAGCAGACTAGTGCTCTGAAGGCACACCCTTGGTGAGGAGGTGGACAGCATAGAGGCAAACAGTTGTTTACTCAGTGGAACAAATCTAGGCTTGCCTGACCTGTCTGGCTGTGGTGATGGGATTTTGCTCCTTCTGTTATGCTTTCCAAAACAGTGCTTGGGTCAGCAGGCCAAGGCACTGGGTCTCGGGATTACAAGAAATTCAGAGTAACCTTCCTCCCTTTCACTTCACAGTACAGCAGTTCTCAATACAATCAGTGATTTGGCAAAGGTAATTCTCAGCAGTTTCTACAGAACCTGCATAGTTTCACGCAACAAAAAGAAAGTAAAACTGTGGCTTCAGAGTGTTTTTCCTCCCAGAATTTTAAAGCCATGCTGAAAACACATTCAGGAACTGTGCAAAGTCCTGAGAAACTGTTCACCAACATCTGTGTTCCTCTCTCTGGAACTGCACCACATTTGTCCCTTTCCCTACTCTAGGGTTGGTCTCTACAAACTCTCAAAAAGCCCCAGCCTTGCCTTTGCCACAAAGAGGAAGGATACGAAAGAATTCATAGTTTTAACAGCAGCTGAAATGCAAAATAAACCCCCACACACACACCAAGGGAGCACAGGGCCTCAAGGGGTACGCGCAGTGACCCCAAGCCCGAGCGATCTGCAGAGGCAATAAAACACCCCTCTGTGCTGCGAATGCAAACCCGGGCCTGCTGAAGCGCCCGAGTTTGGATCCCCGTGTGCTTATCAGCCCAGCCCAGCCCAGCGCGGGAGGGGAGGGGACGGGACGGCCCCGCAGCACAGCAAAGCCCCAGCCCTGGCCT